TCCCCCCTGCCCCCACCCCCTCCCTACCACCCACTCCACCCCTCCGGCTCCACCCCTCAATACCCAGCAGAAACTATTTTGCCCTTATCTCTAACTTTGTTGTAGAGAGAGTATCAGCAATAATAGGAAGGAACAAGGGTTTTGCTGGTTGAGATAAGGATAGCATACAGGGCATTGACTCACATTGATTTCCTGTGCTTGGGTTTACCTTCTAGTTAATTCTTTTTTATCTAACCTTTTCTCTAGTTCCTGGTCCCCTTTTCCTATTGGCCTCAGTTGCTTTAAGGTATCTGCTTTAGTTTCTCTGCATTAAGGGCAACAAATGCTAGCTAGTTTTTTAGGTGTCTTACCTATCCTCACCCCTCCCTTGTGTGCTCTTGCTTTTATCATGTGCTCATAGTCCAATCACCTTGTTGTGTTTGCCCTTGATCTAATGTCCACATATGAGGGAGAACATACGATTTTTGGTCTTTTGAGCCAGGCTAACCTCACTCAGAATGATGTTCTCCAATTCCATCATTACCAGCGAATGATTAACATTTCATTCTTCTCATAGCTGCAAATTCCATTGTGTATAGATACCACATTTTCTTAATCCATTCGTCAGTGGTGGGACATCTTGGCTGTTTCCATAACTTGGCTATTGTGAATAGTGCCGCAATAAACATGGATGTGCAGGTGCCTCTGGAGTAACAGTCTTTGTCTTTTTCCCATTTTGAAATTGTTTTGTGTTTCTATTATTGAGTTATAAATATTCTTTATTCTAAATACATGGCTCTTACCAGATACATGATTTAGAAATAGGTTTTCCATTCTGTAGGTTGACTTTTTTCACTTCCCTTTTTTTAAACGCAGGGCACTCTACCATTGGCCAATGCCTCTGGTCCCCTCCCTGTTTAAATTTAGAATTCATTTGTAGTACAAGGCAATTTCATGTGAAATTCCATGTGTGCATATATAGTTTTTAATCAAATTTACCCTCTCTATTATATTTTCTTCAAAAAGACAATTCAACAGAGGATTTAGTGGGAAATGAACAGAATAATTACCTAGCTCCTGACCCCAACAAATCAATGATAAATGTTACTAATAAGCTCAGTAACACAAAAAAAAATTCTCTCAAAGAGGAAATCATGTATGAGATCACTGAGAAACTCATGGAGAAACTGCAAGACACAGTTAAGCAGAAAATACAAGATGCACTCAAGAAATATCAGGATGCCACAAGCAAAACACTTGAGAAGACACAGAAATGACTGGCTTCTGGGTAGCTAAGATTACAGGTGTGCGCCACCAGTGCCCAGCTAGGAAGTTATATCTTTAAATCTACTTTTTATTTTACTGGGAAAGTTAATTTTATTTCTTTTTAATTTTTGCTGTAGTAGGGTTTGAACTGTTGTTGTTACACTTGCTAGGCATGTGTCCTAACTCTTAAGATACTCTGCCAGGCTTTTTTATGTGTGTTAGGTATTTCTGAGATAGCATCTCACTTCTTCCCTGGGTGGCCTTGAACCATGATCTTCCTGATCTTTGCTTCCTGAGTAGCTATATTTCAGGCATGAACCACCATCACCTGGCTGGGAAAATTAATTTTTGTAGCCTGTATTTTGTTTTCTTCCTATCCTGTGTTTTCATGGAAGTACACCCTTTAAATATCAAGTGCCTTTATGAGTGAGTTACATAGGTGCAGGGGCTCTTGTTGACAAAAAGTGACAAATTTGTATTAGAGACAGAGAAACTGGTTTGGTAGAAGCTAACCAGTCTGCTGATATTGTTTCTTCCAGTTATTCTTTGATTTTTAGCTTCCAAAATTAGTCATTTAATTTCTAGTTGTATAATAAGGTGATCTGACTTCTGATATTAGATAGCAATTGCCATGGAAAACATTTTCCAAAATAAAATTAATTTTTCATGCTCCTGTATTCAAGGCAATTGAACTGTATTCTGTGGACTTTAACTGATAAGAAAATTTTACTCTTCTCTCTCTCTCCTCTTTTCTCTCTCTCCTCTTCCTCTCTCTCTCTTCCTCTCTCTCTCTCTCTGTCTCTTTCTGTAGCTTTTCATGGATACTGCCCCAACATAGGTATTCAGAAGCTTAACTACTTTGCACCTCTTTCTAATGAAACAAGTAGAATTGAATTTGTTAGTTGTTGTGTTTACATCCCATCCTTTCCTGTCTGCTTGTCTTAAATTTAGTCTCTGGTAGCTGATTCAATATTTTGTAACCGAAGAATATGTCTGTTTACATTTATGATGTAAGTTGAAAATAGTTCATATGAAAGATTTTATGGTTTGTGTGTATAGATAATAGTACCGAAGTGGTTTCTGTGATAGTTTATTGGGTTAATCATGAGTGCCTTGGTTTTAGAAGCATTGGAAATAATTTTTCTTTGATCTCTTGAGTATCAGTGGGTAGCTTTTAAAACTTACTTGAATATGTAGTTTGGCTGCTACATGCCCCTCTTGGCCTGTCCCCTAAACTTGGAGTGCAGTTACAATTCTGTGTGCATGATGATAATTCATTGTTGGCCAGTTTGTCACAGAATTAATGGTGACTTCTGATCATAGTGTTCTTGGGGTGACTTCTGATCATAGTGTTCTTGGTTATACTGCCTGGAAACTGGTGGGAAACAAATAATGAAATTGCCTGTAATAATTGTTAGAGTTTTTCAGACCACAGGGGTAAGTCAGGGACCAGAACAGGGACAGAGTGAGTCCACACATCTCTATTTCTGTCTTATTTCTGGACCTTACTCCAGCAAGGGCCAAGAGGGCTTGTCTGGGGAGCAGTGTGAGGCTGGAAAGAGCAGTGAAAGTCACTCATATTAGAGTTTTCCTGCTGGCCCAGTGTTCAGGGTTGCCCTTTCAGCAGTTTTGTAGAGGGCCTTTTGGGTGGGGTAGCACAGCTGTGTACTCTTAAGAAGGAAAGTCAATTAAGAACTGTTAGGAATGTTAATTTGTGTTAATTCCTTGATGTGTATTCTCCTAGATGTTCCCCCCCCCACCTTGGATTCACTTGAAGGGCTAGGAACAAGCCATTCAACTGCTTGTGCCCATGCCTGGCTGCCCCAGTGGGTAGCTGCCAGCCTAGGAGGCCCTGGAAAAACTCGGGTACCTCCAGGACAGCCCAGCGGTTTCTAGTCCTCAGCTACCAGTCCTAGGAAGCCGTGACTGCTGAAATAGAAGCTGGGATTCCTGCTCCTTGGAAGACATCAATCACTCCAAGACCAGCCTCCCTGAACTCCACATGATCCCACTCACCCTACTATTCTCACTGTGTGGGGAAAGTATTCCTTGCCAAGTGTGTGCTGGGTAAAATTTGGGGCCACTTGAGCTCCACCTCAAGTCCATTTTATTGTGGTTATTTTGGAGATGGGCATGTGGCAAACTGTCCAGACTGGCCTCAAACCGTAATCCTCCGTATCTCAGCCTCTAAGTAGGAGTAGCCAGAATTGCAGGTGTGAGCCACTGGCACCTGGCTTTGACTCACTTTTTGAGTCTACCTTGAGAAACCATCCAGTGTTGTCCCTGCTGTTGCAGCAGTTGGCCCAGTGAAAGAATTCTCCCAAGTGGTCTTTTTATTTAGTTGCAACATTGTTTGAACCCAGGGCCTCACACTTGTTAGGCAGGTTCTCTACTGCTTGAGCCACACCACCAGCCCTTTTTCACGATGTGTTTTTTTGAGGTAGGGTCTCCGGAATTAATTGCCTGGGACTGGCTTTGAATCTGGATCCTCCTTATCTCTGCCTGCTTAATCGCTAGGATTATGGGCTTGAACCACAGCGCCCGGCCCAAGTGGTCTTTTGACCACTCGTGGTCCTCTTCTTGAGTGGAGCAGGCTGAGCTGTTAACAGAAAGGGGCGTCTGCAGCTTCGATGGCAATGAGAAAGCCACCGAGAGATCCAGAGCCACTGGCATAGAGACTGAGAAGTGGAAGACAACCAATGCTTGGGGAAGGACAGAGCGGGCTGGAGAAGCTGAAGAGCTAAGGTTAGGAAAGGCAGGAGGCTGTGGACCCCGGTTCCTGAATGAATTCAGAAAGCTGCCAGAGCCTGAGAACAGAGGGTCCTGACACCCAGCGCTCAAGAGCCATAAAGCCTCTGCTTATTGTTGCCAAGGCAGGCTGCTGCTGTGAGCTGTGGCTTGCTGGTCACTGAGCCCATAGCAGTCAGTCCTCTGACCTGAGCACCTGCAGCTGTGCGTCTCTGGCCTGCGAGCCTCCACATCTGTTGAGTGCAGCCCATGGCTCTTGCACTCAAGGGCCTTGACCCACCAACACAGAGGAAGCTGGCCCTGCCTTCCTGTGATTCCCATCTGGGTAGAGCACAAGAGTGCCAGCTGGTAACTCATGGGCAGACCTTTCTTAGGCTTTCTGGCTCTTTCTTTTTCTTTCTGTGGTACTGGGAATGGAACCCAGCATCTTACGAAGATAAACAAGAGGTCTACTCCTGAGCTGATCCTTCAACCCCAGCCTTATAGTCCTTCGCCTAGAGTTGCATTCTATTTTTTAATTTGTCATTTTATTTAGTTTGTGAGTAGGTAATACATACCTGTGATTCAGAGTTCTGCAGCACAGACTTAGACACCTTCCCATTCCCTGGCTCTCTGCTTTCCTTCATCAGAATTGTGTTAGTTCTCATCTCTGTGACTGATGGCCTGACATAAGTAACTCAAAGGAGAAAAAATTTAGCTGGGAACCAGTGGCTCATGCCTGTAATCCTAGCCACTTGGGAGGCTGAGATGGGGAGGATCATGGTTCAAGACCAGCCTGGGCAAATAGTTTGTGAGACCCCCCATCTCCAATATAACCAGGTCAAAATGGACTGAAGGAGGAGCTCAAGTGGTAGAGTGTGCTTTGCAAGTGCAAAGCCCTGAGTTCAAACTCCAGTCCCATCCCCCAGCCCCCGAAAAACAGTAGGAAAGATGTGTTTTGGCTCACAGTTTCTAGAGATTTTAGCCCATAGTTCTTGGCTCCTGGGCCATTAGTGAGGCAGAACATCATGGGGGTCACGGCTGGAGGAGCATGTGGAGAAGGAGGCTATTCACCTTATGGCATACAGGAAGGAGAGAGCAAGGAAAGGACTGAGACCAAGTTTAGCCCTCAAAGGCATGCCACCGGTGACCTACCTTCTCCAACCAAGTCCCATCCCCTAAGGTTTCCAGAACCTCCCAAAATAACACCGCCACCTGGGGACCAAGTGATGATCTTGTGGGGGACATTTCATATTCAAGCCGTAGCAAGACTCATCATCATAACCTATTGTATGTCTTACCAGAGATGTTTGTGCCTGTCTTAGTTTGTGTTCTCTTTTATGACAGAATACCTGAGACCAGGTAATTAATAAAGAATCAAAACTGAAGCCAGGTATGGTGGTTACATGCCTATAATCCCACCACTTGGGAAGCTGAGAGAATTGTGAGTTCAAGGTCAGCATGAACTGCATAGAGCGATCCCGTATCAAAGGAACAAAAGTTTATTTGGCTTACGGTGTTGGAGGCTGGCATTTTCTTGGCACCTCGTGCAGGCTTCTTCATTTTCTTCCATTTCTCCTGTGCTGGCCTTTCTCTTCCTGTTTTCAAGAATTTTACTTTTACGTACCTTACACACTTCATAGCATGCGATTACTTTTGTTAAAACAATCACCTTTCAAGAGAAGTCTAGATGACAAAAATCTTTGATATTAGCATCTGTAGTGCCCTTCATTCATTGTGTAGAACCAGATTTCCAACTGGTATTGTCTCCTACCGGAAGGACTTCTTTTTACGTTTCTTATACAGCAGGTCTGCCGGGATGAACCCTTGCATCCTTTGAATGTCTAAAATGTCCTCATTATACCTTCATTTTTAAAACGAGTTTGCTCCTACTGAATTGCAGGTTGACATAGTTTTAGTACTTTGCAGGTGTGGCAGTGCTGGTTTATCACTTTTCCCAACAAGACGTCTGACAGCTCATTTTTGTTTTCTGTGTAGGTAACATGGCCCCCTTTTCTTTGGCTACGTTCAAAATTTTCCCTTTGTCACTGGTTTTGAGCAATTCGATTATAATGTCTTGTGTGGTTTCTTCATCTTTCTTGCGTGTGCAGTTCGTTGAACTTGAACCTGTGGGTTTGTAGAAATCAATTTTCTTCAGAAAAGTTTGGTTTGGGCCTCTTAGTAGTAGTATGTATCTCTTACTATAATTTTTCTTATAAATGACAGATCTATTGAGATGTAATTTCCATCCTATCCAATTCGTGAAATTAATGCCAATTTCAGTGGATTACCTTTCAGAATTTTATATAGTATTTAAATTTTGAATATGTATTTAAAAATATTAAATAATAGTAGTTATTATTTTGTGGTACTGGGGTGTTAAGCCCAGGCTTTGTCCTTGCTAGGCAAGTGCTCTCATCACTTGAGGCACACAGCTAGCCGTTTTTGCTTTCGTCATTTTTCAGGTAGGGTCTCATGTTTTTTTGCCAGGGTCCATCCTGGACCATGTTCCTTCTTCTTACATCTCCTGCCTAGCTGGGATTACATGTGCCACCATGCCTGGCTTGTTTTCTGAGATGGAATCCTGCTAACTTTTTCCTAGGTTTTTCTGGGTTTTTTTTTGTTGTTGTTGTTTTTGTTTTTTGTGGACACCAGCTTCTATCCATCTAACTTATGGAACATGTGGAATAGGGCTAAATTTTTGTAATGTCTTCTCCACTGATTGCTACTCTTGCGTCTGTTCTGGCTCTGTTTTAGTGATTACTCTCCATGACTCATGGTTTTCTGCTTCTTTGTGTGAGTAGCAGTGTTTGATTGGGTGGTAAATGTTGTGCATTTTTTTCTTTCCTTTCTTTTTTTTTTGGCAGTACTTGTATTTTTGAACTCAGGGTCTCATGCTTGCTAGTCAGGCACTCTACCACCTGAGCCACTGTGCTAGCTGTATTTTGTGTTGAGTATTTTCACAAACTGTTTGCCCAGGGCAGGCTTAGAACCATGATCCTCCCCATCTCAGCCTCCCACATAGCTGGGATTACAGGTGTGAGCCACTGGTGCCTGCCAGTTGCTGCTGAGGCAAGTATTACTCGTGAGTTCTCTGCTCAGGGCCCTATGAGCTAGTAGTTTATATCTGATGGTGGTGGACAAGGCCATGTGGATGTCTGGCACCATCTGCTCTGGTCCTCTCCAGTGCTGCCTTCCTGGATCCCTGCAAAGCCCCCTCTTCCCATGTTCTGCTGAATACTTGGGACTGTTGGCGGATCCCAGCTTTCTTCTCCTTGGTACTGTGTTCTGTGAACACTTCCTGCCTTGGTTTCTCTGGTCTTAACTCCACCTACTCAGTGCAGATCGTCTTCCAGAGCCTGCCTCAGTTTACCCTCCATGCAGTAGCAATGTTTGGAGGCCACTGTGAGGGTTCATCTTTTTGTATACCATGTCTCAGGGAGTACTGTCCTTTGCATGATTCCAAGATGTTGAAAAATATTTAATGTGTTGTTTAAAATTTTTTTTCCTAAATCATAGTAAATGTTGTCTTTGTCACACCAGGTGGGCTAGCACTGGAAATTCTGTTTTATTACAGATGTTATGTTTTTATTTTCATACATTGGTGTATTCTTCCACTTGAAATTTACTCTGCTGTGTGCTCAAGAGGTAGAGCCCCTGCCTTGCAAGTGCAGAGCCCTGAATTAAAAAACCAGAGTCCCACCACTAAGATAAATAAATAGATAAATAAAATAGTATACCTCGCTGTGAGGCTCTTTATTTATTTATGGAGGTACTGGCGTTTGAACTTAGGTCCTTGTGCTTGCTAGGCGGCATTCTACCACTTGGGCTGTGCCCCAGCCCCCATTTATTTTCTCATATTTTAAGATGGCTACCTAACATCACTTATTTACTTGATATCTGGTTTGATTCATCTTCTCTCCCTTTCTCTTTTTCTCTTTCTCTCCGTAGTCTCACTGTGTAACCCAGGCTGGCCTTAATCTCATGCTCCTCCTGCTTCAAACTCCAAATGCTGAGATTACAGACATTAGCCCCTATGCCCAGTTCTCATTTATCATCCTTATCATGTGTCACATTCCCAAACGTGTCAGGATTCACGTTTCATTTTAAGGTTTCTCTTCTATTGTGTATGCTGATGAGGTGCCAGGAATACTCTGTTGTAGTAATGGTGGCTATTTCTTTATTGTTTATATATGTAGCACCTGGATCAAACCCAGGACCTTGTGCATACTAAGCAGTGCTCTTGCACTGAGAGCTCAGCCCTCTGGCTCTTTTGCTTGCTTATTCTGCCTTCTTTCTCCATGTGAACTTTAGGATCAAGTTGTCTGTTCTGTAAACAAATGCAATTGCTATTAATTACTTAACATAAACTTAGGGGGAAATCTCAATGACTTTTGTACAGAGAAACATGGCATGTCCTTGTTTGTTCATGTCTTTGTTTGGGTTGCTCAGTGTGTTAACTTTTCATCCCAGTCTTGTCCTTTCCTCGTTAAACTGCTTCCTAGTTTCTTTAGATGGATGTTTAGATTGTTGAACTTGCATCCTTCTACTTCTCTACCTTCTCTCTTTTCTATATTTTTTTTACTACAAATCAAAAGACATAAATTTCCCTACTTTCTCTCTGTCCCTAAATTCATGATTATTGATAAAATATATAATTCCCAAAGTAATTTTGAATTTCCTTTGAGGATTCTCACCTATGTGTTATTTTATAGTATGTTGTTTAATCTCTAATATGGGGTTTTGGTATGATTATTCTGTTAAAGATTTATAGTATTTTCCATTGCCTGATGATAGTCTTTGTGTGATAATTATTTTAATTTGTTCAGTTGCATTTTACATCTTGGAATGTGATTTATCTTGGTTGATGTTCTCTATGAACTTGAGAAGTATATGAATTCTGATGCTGTTGGATGAAGTATTATATTTTTTCATTGATAAATGGAACTGCTCCTTTCGTGGATAATTCTGATAGCAATTTCTTAGTTGTCTTACTAAACTAAATTAAAATGTTGTCAGCAGTCCTATTTCTGCTGCAGTTTTGTTAGTTTGTGCCTTAAGTGTTTTGATGTCTTGTTAGATGCATAAGTGTGAAGATTGTTTTACTTTAATCAAGAAGTAGCTATTTTGATGGTGTGTATCCTCCTACTTCTTCTTTTTTTAACACAGGAACAATTCTTTATTGTACATCACAGAAATAGCCCTGTGTGCTGGTACAAGGTGCAACATACAGAATATCAAATTAAGAAAAGAGGAAAATGGGAGGGGTAGGGAAGAGAAACCTCTTGAGGTCCAAAGTTGCAAACAAAAAGTGGTAAAAAAAATCCCTTCTGAAAGAGGCATTTTTGCAAGTTCCATGCAAAACAGGCAGCTGGACTGTCTTAAGAGAATCCAATAGATAACAGAAAAGACACTACAAGCATTCCTTTACATGGACTCAGAGCACCTGGGAAAAAGCAAAATGCCTTTTGGCATTTCAAGATATTTGGCACTCTGGTGATTACATTCTTTTACAGTGCATTAAAAAGAATAAACAGACACAATATTAGAGAAAAACAAGCGGCTCAAAGAACAGACTGCAGGGGCAAGTGTAGAAAAAGCACATGCATTTTTTTTTGTTGTCCAAAAATTTGTCCATTTCCATTAACTTGGGCAAATAACTTGCAGCAACAGAGAAACACAAGCTTTAAAAATCATCTGAAAATAAAACAAGAATCCTTGCAGTGTATCATTCTTTAGAAAAGTTATCTTCTTGTTTTAAGCACATTCCTGATAACTTCAAAAGATGATCAAAATAAAACAGTATATATACACTGAGCATTTTCTGATTTTTTGTACATCCAAGGATAACGTAAAAAATGAACCTGGACAGCATTTCACATCCAAGTGCACAGACTCATTTTTGCAAGATTAGTGTAAACATTGGGAACAGCCAAATCAGCAAAGAATGCAGACACCTCAGAACGCTTGGTGCTGCCTACATTAAAGTGGTTGAAAATTCAGAACAATAATTGTGGAATATTCACCAGTTATGAAAAGAAATAGATATTAATTTTGACAAATAGCTGAAACAGAGAGTTTTACTTTCTTTATATGTGTGTGTTATGTATTTTTTTATTTTTATTTTTGCTGAGGAGCCCAGAACCTTCACCTTCTCCTCCTCCAGCCTCACCTGTCTCTGGGCCTGACATGAGATACAGCTTGTTGATTTCATCCTGGGTAGGGATCTAAGAATAAGTTTCACAGCGCTTTCTCTTTTTCGTGTTTTTTGTTTGTTTTGTTTTTGTGAACCCTGATCACCCGCCACTGTTGTCATTCTTTCTCTTAACTCATTGTCTTTGTGGGGTTTAGACACCAGGAGGTGCCTTGTCCATCCTATTCTTCAGCAGGTCATCAATCCTGTGATCTTGAATAACAAGCGGCTTGCTCTGGCCAATCTGGCCCAGCTTGGGCAGCTGCTTTTTCTTCTGGGCAGCGAAGAAGTTGTGTCCTGCAGGTGGCATGAGAAGATGTGGCCCACATCCCTGCCTTTGCCTTAGGGGCTCAGCTTCTTATATATGCATATATACAGTTTTTGTAACATGTTCTCTCTTGCTCTCTATTATATATATATATATATATATATATATATATATATATATATATATATATATATATATATAATTATTGTCCAGGTTTGCCTGGAACTGCTATTTTTCAGCCTCAGTCTCACAAGCAGATGTGACTATAAGCTCACAAACTTTTCTTGGCCCGTAAGCCAATAAAAAACAACAAGAAAAACCATCACACACACAAAAAAACAAAACAGCAGAGAGGGTGAGAGGGTGGCTACTTAAGTTAAATCTTATTACAATCACTAATGCCTGTCTGGACATCAAAAATTGCTAAGGAATAGCAAATGATTCTACTATCATTTGAATTATGTCTAATAAAATCTAAAATTGATTAAAGAATTAAATCCATTTTAGCCTTGCGAAAAAAAATTCTACTGAGTTTTTGTTATGAGTAAAGACGTAACACTATCCTACTAGTTGATGAGATAAAATTTTCAGAAAATCTCCGCAATTATTTTAGAAATCCATACTTAAAATTACTAATACATATTTAGTGAGATTTGCTTAATAAATATAAATACTCCTTCAGAAAATATTAAGTATTTGTTGCGAGACACTACTTATCTAGTGACTTAATAACTAACCACTCAAAAATTATTAGGCAACCCTTGCAATTATTTTTATATAATAAAAGTAAAAAGGAAATTTGCATTTTGGTTATTGCATTTTATACATCATTCTTAGGTCTTTATAAGGTATAAAACGTAGAAAATCATTCTCAATATTCTCAGATTTAAATGACTCAAACATCATTCTCAGGTCTTTATAAGGTAAAAAAACGTAGAAAATCATTCTCAATTAATATTCTCATTAGATTTAAATGACTCAAACTACAAATAATACTAATTAATCATTGTCAGTATTTTAAAAATTTGTATCACTGGAAATTTTATTTCTGTGTCAATAAGAAAATGATCAGGTCACACTAACTGCCCAAAAATGTTTGGAAAAACTAAATATTCTTTGTTAAATAGCATGTTGTAAGAAATATGCTCAATACTCTTAAATTGCACAAGAACCTAGTACTCACAAGGAGTCGAAATGAAAATTCACAAATGGTGGGCAAAGTCCCGTCATCTTTCATCACAGTACAGCATAGATCCACTGTTACTACACATAACCAAATATGTTTACGATAGAAATGTGAACAAGTCGTAACTACTGTGCATCACTGAGGAGTTTCACTGTATTTGAGTAGATACAGCAGATGCACAGACATCCTGTTTCAAAAATAAATGCCACCAGAGCTCTAAATAATGAGTACACAAATACAAAGATAAAGCTCTGGGACCACTAAAAAGCAAAGCTTAAGATGATATAAACACATCTGATTTGTCCTCTCTGTAAGCCACTTTCCACTGCTGTATGAGACTATGGTTTTATTCTTCTTTAAAAATGACCCTTATTCTACCCTTCTGCATGCTGTAATTTCACTGTACCTTCTTAACCACGATGTAATCTTCAACTTCCTTTGAAGAGGTTGATGAGTTATGTGTGACCAGGATTTCTCCAGGAAATCACCTTGTGGAGTTTCCAGCAGCCAATTGTCACCTTCTTCATCATGGCTGCTCACGGGGCCTGAGTCCAGGTTGCAGGTAAGGGACCACTGCAGCTGAATCCCTTGCCTTCCTTGAGCCACTACCCAGCATTGCCTGTCATCAGGCTCTGCCCCTTGTACCCCAGCCACCTTGAGTTACTTGACTTTTTTTTTTGATTTTCACTTTTTTCTGCTTTTTGTGGTTTTGGTTGAACATTTAAACATTTTGCATTATTTCATTTTCTTCTCTTTCTTGGCATATTGATTATACTTTATGGAAACATTAGTGTCCACCTCCACAGACACTCACAGATACACACAAACATACACAAATATCTGTGTATTCAAAATCCACTTTAAAACAGTCCTGCACAGCTTTAAAGTTTCTAGATTTGTAACCAAATATTCCAAGTTTCTTCCTGCCTTTTCTTACAACATTTTGGTAAATCATTTTGACTACCATATGCTAATATGCTATATTGTTGGTTTTGTTCAGTTACATATTAGATGAGGAAGAAAAAAATAAGATTTTATTTTCACCTTCATTGAATTCTTTATCTAATGTTTTTTCTTCTTTACATAGATGCACGTTTTTTAATTACAATTTTCCTTCTTTCTGAAAATCTCCTTTAAAATTTCTTGCACTTCAGGTGCTAGTAGCTCATGCCTATAATCCCAGCTACTCAGAAGGCAGAGATCAGGAGGATTGCAGTTGGAAGCCAGCCTGGGAAAATAGTTCATGATACACTATGTAAAAAATACACAAGATAAAAAAGGTCTGTCAGAGTGGATCAAGTGGTAGAGCACCTGCCTACCAAGCATGAGATCCTGAGTTCAAACCCCAGTACCACCAAAAAAAATTACTTGCAGTATAAAACTATTTAAAATAAATTTACCTACTTCATTTTATGAGAAATATCTATGTTTCTCATTTTCTTTTGATGGAAATTTCACTACACTCTTGAAGGGTAATTTCACTAGATTCAAAATTATGGGGTGATTTAAATATTTTGCCCCACGCTCTTCTTGTGGTTTGGTGTCTGCTATTAATGTTGGAAAACTCAGTCAATATTATTTTTAAAAATGTGTCTGCTCTTTTTCATCTTTCCTCATTTTCTGTTACACCCATCATGTATGTTAAACTCTTCGCAGTTGTTACACGGTTCTTTGGTCTTCTGGTTCTTTCTTTTTTAGATTTTTCTAAAATTTTCCACTTGGAAAATTTCTATTGACCCATCATTAAGAATATTCTACTCCTGACTGTGCTCCATCTACTGAGGAATATTGTTATTTATTTGTTCTACAATATTTTGACTCTTACATTTTCTTTTAAGTCTTTATTAGAATCCTTGTCTTTCTCCTTGAATTATTGATGTATTACACCCTGACCAGATTTTCCAGTAGACCTTTAACACAGTAATCATAGTATTTTAAATTCCCTCCCCTGGGTCAGGCTTTTCCCTACTGTAGTAGACCTTTGCTGCGAAGAATGAAAGTTCTTGGCTTATTGCACAAGTAGGATTATTCTCAACTCTGTTCTCAGACCATTCTGGGCCTTCTTGACATAAAACCTTCAAAATTCTAGGGCTCCCAGTGGCCTCCAAGAGTTTTTACCATTTCAAGTTAGTCCGCTCAGCTTAGTAAAGTTTCTTTATTCAGTGAGTGTACTGAAAGAAAATCAGTATATATTGAACAAGTTGCAAATGAAGAAAAGGCATAACAAATTTTATGAAGAATGAGAAATCGTACCATCCTGCGAGGACAGTTTTCCTTTTACCCCTTGCTTCCTATTCCATTATGTGGCTGGGTCATGATTTATGTGGTGACAGTAAATAAAATGGGGACTTAGAGTTTGCTAGTCCCTATGGCTCATGGTTGCAAGGGGTCTGCCTACATCTGTTAACTGTGTTTGTAAGATTTTTGAAGTAAAAAGGCCAGAGCCTTGTGGGTGTGTGCACTCATCAGTGCTTCTGGACTGCTAGAAACAGTGCTACTGTGAGAATTCACTAACACATTTTTTGCACAGGTCTGTTTCCAGGTCAATTGGATACATGCCTGGGAGTTGGATTGTCATGTTTTTAGGTTTTGAGCAACTGCAGGCTCTTTTCCAAGAGACTACACCAGCCCCATTCCCTCCAGCAATCCTTGCCAGCACTTGTTACCAGATTTACACAGTGTGAAGTCATTTTGTGTACATTAATGCTTCCTATTACGTCTGCCCACTCTGCCCTTCAGTACATTAATTTTTCTCTGGAGTTTGAACTCAGGACCTGGAACTTGCTAGGCAGGAGCTCTACTTCTTGAGCCAGGCCTCCAGCCCTAAAAATCCCCCCACCCCTCTTTTTAATCTGTAAATAGGATTCCGGTGGATACCGGGGTATTTCATGTGTGTACATTTAATGTAGCATTAAGTGTTTTTCTTTCATCACCCCTCATTGTATAATCACTATTGTTTAGGGTCTAACCAGTCACACCCCCATACTGGGCATTTAGACTTTTTTTTTGGTGGGACCAGAGTTTAAACTCGGGACTTAGCACTTGCAAAGCAGGTACTCTACCATTTGAGACACACCTCCTGTCCATTTTACTCTGGTTATTTGGAGATGAGGGTCTCACAAAGTATTTCCTTTGGCTGGCCTTGAGCCTTGATTCTCTCAATTTCAGCCTCCCAAATAGATGGGATTACAGGTGTTAAGCACTGACACCTTGACTTAGACATTTATAGGAGAATACTAATAGGAGTTAAGTTCCCATCCCAACCCAATCATCCTCTCATATGGCCTTTCAGTTAGTTGTGTGCATGTTCAGTGACATATCTGTTTTTAATTTAAGCTTAATCCTGGTACAGTTCCTGTGCACCATGAAAATAATACTGTGTAAAGTGTACACATTAATGCTGGCAAGTAAAGGTTCAGAATGAGCTGGTCCCAGTCAAAGAACCTAGGAGGAAAGGAGAGGTGAGGATGGTTTTTCACCTGGATATGGAGTTAGTTAACTCTCAGGATGGGAGAAATACCAAGAAAAGGAGTATGCATTTGGCTTCCTGTGAACCTCCTTGAATTTTTGTTCAACTTTCCCATCCTTTCAGTGGGTAGCCCTCCATTAAATGAACAGTGCCTGTTCTCTTTCCTCTGTATTAATAAAAGGAAAAACATTTTAAGCACATTTTCACTGCTTCATAATCCCTTTGGTAATTTATAGAATTTAATACTTGGCACGGAGCTTTAATTTACTGCATTATTTTGTTTTTAAAATTTCTGATCACCAAAGAAAATTTGTAATAACTAATAATTGGCTAAAAGATTCTCAGGATTTTGTGTTAAATTTCTTTACTTGTAAAAAAAA